CAATCCCTTTTTCATTTTTCTCTTATGATTTGGGGTAAACATACACATGCTCCCAGTGTGATTTTCAAGCCGCAGGGTCTGGGACTTAAACTGTGGTCGGCCATGTGGAAGTTCAGTGCCTTGACCACCACGCCACCTGCTGGCCCCTCCCATCCTTATTTCAAAGCTGAAGGGACTTTGATGTCCCAGTTTGTGGATGAGGAAACTGAGCCAAGAGAGAAGTGCTTCGTTCCTAAATGATGCTGCTGGTTAATTTATTCAATGAACTTTTTTTTAAGAATTATTTTATTTAACTTTATTTATTTATTTATTTATTTTAATTTGACCAGAGAGAGACAGAGTGAGAGAGGGAGAGGGAGAGGGAAAGTGAAAAGCAAGCCGCCAGATTCGGGACATGAACTGTGGTCGGCCATGTGGGAGTCCAGCACTCTTAACCACCACGCCACCTGCTAGCCCCCTCAACAAACTTTTTTACAATAAGTATTATTGGAGATCGGCAAGTGGCACGGTGGTTAAGGCTCTGGACACTCCCACATGGCCAACCATGGTTCGAGTCCTGGACCTGGTGGCTTGCTTTCTTACTTTCTTCTCTCTCTCTTTCTCTCTCTGTGTCTCTCTGGTCAAATTAAAATAAATGAATGAATGAATAAATGAAATTGAATAAAATAATTTGAAATAATAATAATATTAATTTACTTCATTATATTTATTATTATTACTGTTATTTAGTTTGCTATAGGACAGGAAACACCTGGCTCGCCAGAGGGAGAAAAAGTGAGAAAGCAAGCTGCCAGGCCGGGGACTTGGACCACAGTCGGCCGTGTGGGAGTCTAGGCTGGCCCCTTAACAAACAATTATGGAGCCCCTACCAGGTGCCAAGCACAGTGCTAAGGGCTGGGGATGCAGAGATGAGCTAGACAGACCTGCCCTGCCCCATTGGGGTGCTCTGGGGACGTACAGCCGGAAGGAGGTGAGGCGAGCGGGAGGGAGGACAGACTTCCAGAGCGTTGTCCATCCCCAGACATGTGTTACGCCTTCTGTAAACAGCTCATTACTGCAAATGAGCGCTGCTGGGCCATTTTGCAGGTGGCAGGACCAGGGTCAGAGAGGTGGAGTGACCTGCTCCAGGCCACACAGCCATGGCTGACCCCTAGCCCCACCGTGTAAGTGAGGAACAGAGCGGACTGTGTGGGCTCTGGGCCAGACCAGGCCTCGCCCCATCTCCAGGGCCTCTGCTCTGACCTCTTCCTGGCCTGGCCAGGGGCACAGCAGGAGCTGGTGGGTAAAGGGGCGGGCAGAGGGGCCACTTGGCAGGGCTTCCCCTGGTGGCCAGGGAGGTCTCCGCCCCACCCCCCATTCAGTGGAGGGGCCCAGGCTGGGCAGATGGAGGTCGCAGAGAGGTCAGCCAGGAAGGATGGAGCCTGTGACAGCTGCCGCCTTCACCTGGCTTCTCTCCCTCCCAGACAAAGCAACCACAGGGCGTCCACCGGCTGCACAGGGGACTGGGGCCGGGGGCAGCAGGGCACTCTGCCCGCCCCTTTCTCCAGCCCCGTCACTAAGTGCAGGGACACACCTTTGCACACGTGAGCTGCAAGCCCGCCCTGCACCAGCGGCCTCCCCGCTCATGCACCCAGCATGTGCTTCTTCATTATCAGACGTGCTCTGAGCCTCCCTGCGGGCCCGGGCCATGCTGGGGGCAGGTGAGAGGGAGGCGTTCAGGGGTCCTGCCTCGGGCGCGCAGGCCTGGATGGAGAGGGGCCTTCCTGACTGCTGCAGCTGTGGCTCATGCTGAGACCAGGCCAGCGCAGGACGGAAGTGCCTGGGGGCTCAGGGAGGGGTGGCAGTCAAGGAAGGCCACCTATGCCAGAGAGACAGAGACAGAGATTTTTGCTATAGAGCGTGTACACTCACTGGAGAGACAGAAAGAGACAGCGAGACAGAAAGTGAAACGTCACTTCCCAGGGGGATGACCACGCTGCAATCCCTTCTCCATTCTTCTCTCAGGGTTTTGGGTATGCATGTACATACCACGCCTGGTATGATTTTTAAGCCACCGGGTCCGGGACTCAAACTGCAGTCAACTACATGGGAGTACAGCAATGTAACCATTCTGCCTTCTGCTGGTCCAAAGTGATAGCTTATTTATTTATTTATTTGTTTATTTATTTTAAAGAGTTTTTTTTTTTTTTTTTGCTATAGGGCATGTGCGCTCGCCAGACAGAGAGAGACAGAGACAGAAAGCAAGAAATCACCCCCCAGGGGGAATGGCCACGCCGCAATCCCTTCTCCTCCATTCTCCCCTTGGGATCTTGGGCATGCACGCACACGCACCTGGCAGGAGTTTAAGCCACCAGGTCTGGGACGCGAACCACAGTCAACTACATGGGAGTCCAGCGACATAGCCATTATGCTAACTGCTGGTCCTGATAGCTTTTTTATTTTTGAAGTATATAATTTAATTAATTTGTTTGTTTGTTTAAATTTGACCAGAGAGGGACACAGTGAGAGAGAGAAGGAAAATGAGAAAGCAAGCCACCAGGTCCTGGACTAAAACCACGGTTGAACATGTGGGAGTCTAGCACCCTTATCACCATGCCACCTGCCGGCCCCCAGTGATGCTTTTTAAGACCCAGGGACCGAGTAGGATCTAGGCAGTGAAGAAAACAGAACAAGGGGCTGGCAGTGTGGGAACTGGCAGGGTGCTGAGGGCCACCAGGGAGATTTGAACTTCTCTCTAAGACAGAAAGACTCTGGGAAGGGGACAGACATGTCTGAGGTGGATTTCAGAATGCTGCTCTGGGCTACTAGGTAACTACACACATACACATGCACAGGTATACCTGCACACGTGTGCCTGCACACACATACATGAACAGGTACGCCTACACACACACACAAACCTGCACAGGTACAGCCATACACATGTGCCTGCACACATACATGCACAGGTATATCTGTACACATGTGCCTGCATACACAGAAATGCACAGGCATACTGTACACATGTGCCTGCACACATACACGCACAGGTATATCTGTACACATGTGCCTGCATACACAGAAATGCACAGGCATATCTGTACGTGTGTGTCTGCATACACATACATGCACAGGTATACCCATACACGTGTGCCTGTACACACATGCATGCACAGGTATGCCTACACAAACACACCTACACAGGTATACATGTGCCTGCACAGGTATACCTATATACATATGCCTGCACACATTCATGCACAGGTACACAAACACATACATGCGCAGGTATACCTACACATGTGTGCCTGCACGCACATACATGCACAGGTACACCTACACACATTTGCACAGGTATATCCATACATGTGTGCTTGCACACACATACATGCATGGGTACACATAAACACACACAAACATACGTAATTGCACAGGTATACCTAAACACATATGCCTACGCATACATACATGCATGGGGTACATCTACATACATACACACGCCTGCACAGTTATACCCATACACATGTGCCTGCATACACATACATGCACAGGTACGCCTACACACACACACACCTGCACAGGTACACCTGTACACATGTGCATGCACACACATGCATGTGCAGGTATGCCTGTATACATAAGCCCACACACACACACCTGCACATGTATACCTGTACATGTAAGTCTATACATGCATACCTATACAGATGTATCTGCACACACATGTCAGCACAAGTATGCCTGTACATGTGTGCCTACACACATACATACACAGGTATACCTGCATATGTGTGCCTGCACACACACCTGCACAGGTATGCCTGTATACATGTGTCTGTGCATACATATCGGTACACATGTACCTGTACACACACAAACACAGGTATAGCTAAACACATGTGCATGCATATTTTCATGCTGGTACCTGTACCTGCACACAGACCTGAGCATGCATATCTGCATATGTATACTTGTACACGCATGCTGGCACAGGTATACTGCACACACGTTCCTGTGTCTGTACACTTGAACAGGTCTGTCCTGAACAGGTGTACCAGTACCTATGTACCAGCATGCACATTCCAGACATGAATACCTGTACACATGTGCTGTACTTACATTCCTGCATGCAGGTACCAGCATACACATACCTGTACAGCACACCTGCACATGCACCCCTGCACATCCAGACACATGTCGGGTGCAATGTGTGCCTGCCCTGTGATGAGCTCCTCACAATCAGGCTTCAGTCGGACCCCACAGGTAAATTCTGTTGGTCATCTGCATTTCACAGAGGAGGAAACTGAAGCCGGGAGGGGAAGACTTGCCCAGAGACATGCTGGATGACTCAGCAGAGCTGGGAATCAGCACTGGGGGAACTGCTTCCAGCTGCGCTCCTGCCCACGTGTGAGCAGCAACCCCACCTAGAGCAACACAGCAGCACTGCTTTCCCAGGACTCCTTCCCACTCCAGGAAGCTTCAGCCTCCTGCCCACCCTGCCGGCCTGTACAGGCCAGCTTGGTTTCCTGGAGAAGCTGCGACAGAAAGCCCAGACCAGGACTCTGGGACAGGTGGCCGTGTGATGCTCTGCCACCTCCCTTGGCCTGTTAGTCATTACAAAGCAGGGTCGCAGTGTTCTCTCTGCAACAGCAGAGCTGGCTAAGGATGACGACAATGAGAGTGCAGCCCCCCACTCAAGTTCTGGTGCTGTCACTAATCACAAATGCGCCGGTGGAATCCGGAGCTCAGAAGCGTCAGTGAAGGCACAGAAGACTGCTGCTCCCAGAGGTCCTGGGAGGCTGCTTCCCACTTTTCTAGCCTCTGGAGGCCACCCACATTCCTTGGCTTGTGGCCCCACCCTTCTTCAAAGCCCCATCATAAGAGCATCTTCCAGTCTCTCTCTCTGACCTTCCTGCCTCTCCTGCAAGGCCCGTTGTGATTATAATGGGGACACCTTCCCCAGCCTGCTTGCAAACCCCTGGGACTCTGGGCAGTGCATCTCCATGTCCCACCTCCCTCAGGACAGGGATGAGACCCATCACCACTACCCAGAGGACAGGGAGATCCTGAATTGGCTTCCCAGGAAGGCACCACAACGCCCCGTGGGCCCTGCCCCCTTGCAGAGGTAAGAGCTGGCCTAAGGGGTACAAGTTTGAGTTGGTGGGAACCCCCAAGTCCCATTCAGAATCGGTGCCTCCTGCCTTTGCAGAATGTCCCAGGAACCAATGAGCTGGGCTCCACCAGAGCGGCCCTGGACCGCTCTCCCTAGGAGAGAAGGGGAAGGGACTCCAGGACCTGGGACTGAGGGTCTCTCCAGGGAGCTGGGAGCAGGGAGCAAAGCTGCAGGCCATCCACATGCCCACTGGCCACCCGTGGGAAGCCTTGCTCCCTCTCCAAGCTTCAGGACCCATTTGCAAGGAGGCGATGATCTTGGATCTTGCCCCTGCTCCTGCGGGGATCCCATGAAGCTCCTTCAGCAGGTACTAGGGGGCAGGGGCGGTCTGGGAGGCAGGGACAGACCTGTGAGTAGGCAGACCCAGGCCTTCAGGGACTTCCAGTCACCCATGGCAACAGCCATGTCCCTGCCTGGGTCCTGGAGAGAGGGAGATACCAAGCGGAGCTATCACCCTCCCTCAGCTCAGCGCACTCCACCACATGCAGGGAGTAGCTCATGGCGGCTAAGGGACACGGATGTAGCTGGGCAGTGGCGTGCAGGTCGGATGCATCTCTCCACGAGGCTGGCCCGCGTGGGAAGGTTTGGACTCAAAGACTGCCCTACGTACGCTGGGCATGTGTGTGCCCGTGATCCAGCGGTGGCTGAGGCTAGGGGTGGATTGTGATGTCAAGATCCTGG